CACAATCGCAGGCTTGGAGCATGAGTACAATGGAGATAACATATGTTTCGATATTTTAAATGTTAAGTGAAAATATGCCCAGTGTCCTTACTTGACAAAAATACCTTCATAAGAATCTGGAAAGCCAGGTTTTAATTTATACCAGGACATAACTTGAGATCAGAGCTGACCTTTAGCCCAGGTCCCACCTTTTTTCTCTTCCCGTCCTTGGCTCTGAATTGTGTGACAAGGGACCCCGCCTGCATCTTTATATGCACACTATCCTGCATATTCGGACTACTCACCTCCTGTCACATTAGTGCATACAAGGTGATGGATTATGTTCTCAGGAACATTCTGGAGGCTGTTCAAACAGGTTTGGAGTCCTGAACCTGGAGTGTAGTCTAGAATGAGTACACATTCCCATGATAGGTCATCTTGACTCGTAAAGCATGTAACCCAGCTCAGGCTCAGGGCTCTGGATAAGAGCAGTACCAAATAGGGTTTTTGGTACTGAGCAACTGTGCAGATGGATTGCTGTTGACTGAGAAGGAGGCTGCAGGTGCAGGACAGGCTAGGGTGAGGAAATTAGTGCGGGAGCTCGTTCAGATGTCTGCATTTTCTATTAGACACCCCAGTAATATCAGGGAGAAGTATAAAAGGAAAAATTGCAACTTACTGTAGCACTGGCCTAGAACATATCAAAACCGAAGACTTTTTCACTGTAGCCATTCTCACCCACCAAAGCTGTTAAAAAAAATTGTGATCTTTGATGCCAGTACTCCAAACCCTTATCGAAGCTATTCCATGCAAGAATTTGTTACTGTGTATATAAACCTATGGACTCTTGTCCTCTCCAGAGTGCCTTTTTTTTTGTTGTTGTTCCAGTTTTCTTTCTTTTTTTTAATTAGCAAGAGTTACATGAACTCTGTTTTCTACTACCTAAAATCTCTTCAAACTTTTTCCCTCTAGTGAACTACCTACTAGTGTTTTTCTTGCCTGGCATGTTGGTTTATTTAGAGTTGGAGTCTCACTCTCACCCAGTCTGGAGTGCAGTGGCATGCTCACGGCCACCGCAGTCTCGACTTGCTGGGCTCAGGTGATACTTCTGCTTCAGCCTTCCAAGTAGATGGAATTATAGGCATTTGCCACCACACCTGGGTAATTTTTTGATTCATTGTAAAGATGAGGTCTCACCAGGTTGCCCAGGCTGGAACCCGTGGGCTCAGGCAATCCTCTCACCTTGGCTTCCGGAAGTGCTGAGATTATAGGCATGAGCCACCATGTCCAGCATGTATGTTTGTTTATTTTAACATCAATAGCTTATCCTTTGAGTGTAAGCAGTTGGGGATACACATTTGGGAATCTTTGGCATATAGATACTACTAAAAGCAATGAGATTAGATGAGATCAAGGCAGTCAGTGTAGATAAAGAAGAGAGCAAGGACAGATCTGGGGCTCTTCTGTGTTGGAAGTTTGGGGACAAGAGGAGGAACCTGTGGAAGAGACTGACCAGAGATGCAGTAGGAAAACTAAATGATACCCTTGGAGCCAAGTGAGAACTTTATTCAAGAGGAGAAAATGAGCAGCTCTCTGATGTTGCTGACAGACAACTTTATATTGCTGACCATGAAATGCAATTTGAATTAGATATTTCAAATTTGTTTAACAAAGCAATGATTTTGTAGTTTTCTAAACTAGTAACTTTGAAGTGACATTTGTAACGTTTCATTATATACACAGCCAAAGCTTTTAAGAGTTACTTTCTGTTATATATTTCCTGAGAATTTATTTAATTGTCTTTTAAACAATATTGGCCAATATGACCATTTTAATGAGTTGGTAGTGACTGTGGAAATAGCAAATTAAGAGCAAAGTGGTCGCCAATTTATGAGATTCTGAGACTTCCAATAATACACTGGTTAGTGAGAGTACACTGTTGAGTTACTTGTGAGCTGCTCACAAAATTACCAAATCATCGTGAAGTATCAAACTGGAAATAGTGAGTTTTAAAGTCTCCAGTTATAAGTGGGTAATTCTGAAAATAGCGCTAACTGTGTAGACAATTTCAGTAAGTTAGAATACATGTAAGTGTTTGCTACATCCTGATAGACTGCTGGTTAGATAACCCTTGAGTTTCTCCTAAGAAAATGACTTGGGCTTCCAGATTACACTTTCGCTTTGTTTTTTTTAACCCGCCACAGTTTGTGTTTTTCCATATGAAAGATCTTTCCCAACTACACCTGCCCTCAGAGACTCCAAATTACAGACTTGAAGTAAGTATTCTTTCCAGATGAGCTGAAGAATGTCATTCTGTTAAAAAGAGGAACAGCTGGTCATGTAGAAATTCTCTGGAATGCTCACTTGTCCTGCAAAAGCAGAGAAAGAAAACAGATGTTAGGTGTAGTGTTTGTCATTGGTAAACAGAATTGTAAGTCATTTTTAGACATAATTTTACTAGAAATCCACACGATCTTAATAATTGCCTTTCTGCTGAGAAGACTGCGAATCTATCAGTGCGAAGGCTGAGATCTGGCCAAGTGCAATTCAGTGGGACTCAGGGATTTGGGAACTGTCCCATTGGATTAGACAGTGCTCCTTAGATTCAGGAACCTCCCATGCTTCAGTTATCCTTTGTTTTAATGACGTTGGGATTAAGTCCGAATTTCTTACCTTTCTCAACAAAGCATGTGGCTCGTTGAGCTCTCTAAGCTCCTCCGTTTTCCCCTGGCGATATCTTCGTTGTGGCCACACTAGTAAATGAGCTGAAGCTCCCTTCTTCCACCGCGGGCACCAGACCCTTTCCCTTTACCTTGACCAGCTCTCACTTGTCCACCCCGCTCCCTGGTTTGTTTCTCCTTCGTGAGATCTGGGCATCATCGTCAGGGTCGGTACACAGTTGGGGCTTCCTGCTTGGTGAATTTCCCCACCAGGTAAGGCTGGGTCTCAGCTTATGCCCCTCCTTTTTTTCGCTACTCAGGAAGCAGCTTCTATAGAAACTGTTTAAATGTAGGAGTGGGAGGGAACTGGGGGCGAGTAGGGCACGACCTTCCCCAGGTCACAGATCAATGAGATTCCACAAGAGATCTGGCTAGGCGTTTGCAAGACAGGGACCCGCGAGCACCCAGGCGTTTGGAGTTGTGCTTGGGGTCTCAGCACTAGACTCTCCCAGTGTTCTAGGAGGTGTTGCAGGCTGGACCGACGGGCGCGGAAGGAGGCCGGAGGGTTTGCGTTTCGGGTGGAGAAAGAGGCTGGTGCCTGCGATCGGGGTCGAGAAAAGGGGGGCACGAGGCCACCTGAGGTGGGCCCACCTTTCTCCACCCCTTCCAAACTCGCTAGACGGCAGCGCAGTGGCTTTGATTCAACAATCACCCTCTCTTTACTCCAAGAAGAGCTGTTTAGTGACCGTGAGCAAATGTGCAGGGCAAGACACGGTGTCCTCTGGCCTTAGAGTTTTGTTTTGTTTTTAGAGACAGGGACTCGCTCAGGGTGGAGTGCGGTGGCGCGGTCATAGCTCACCGCAGCCCCGACCTCCTAGCTCGAACATCCCATCTCAGCCTCACCAGTAGCTAGGACGACAGACTCACTATCATGCCCAGCTGGTTTTTTGGTAGGAACGGGGTCTCGCATTGTTGCCCAGGCTGGTCTTGAACTCTCGGCCTCGAGGTCCTCCCGCCTTGGTCCCCTGAGGCATTGGGGACGGCAGGCGTGAGCCGCCGCGCTTGGCGAGCGGCTTGTGTGGGCGTCCGGAGGGGTCCGCTTCCGCAGGACTCCTCCCGGCCTCCACTGGGTCTGCGGGGTCGCGGAGTGCGGCGCGAACCCCTAGGTTAGATCCCAAGGACGGAGACTGCTCTGTGCTCCAGGCACCGTACCGCTCCCGCAGCCCCGTCCTCACTTTCCGAGGCAGTTAGCAGAGCTCCGCGGGCTGGGGAGTAGGCGGGACGGGGCGATGGCCCTCGGCGCCCCCTGGGCGTCGCCCTTCGTCGCCAGGCAGCGCCCCGGGGCTCGGGTCCCCGCCGCCTTC